GTGTTAAAACTACATGTAATCAAAATGACATAATAAAATGAAGAAATTCCACCGCCCCGTGTGAGAGTCGAACTCACAACCTCTGGTTTACATGCCCAACGCTCTGCCAATTGAGCTAACGGGACATCCGTCGATCAATCGGCAGGAAAGTCGAGTTCTCATCACACATCAAGCGGCAGAATCTTTCCGATTCCCGAAGTCACTCGAAATCATGCACTATACGAAGCATCGCTGGCAGGATGGAACTATCGGTCTCCATATTTCCCCGTTCGTTCTCTGAATTTCGGAATTCATTAACAACCTACCAGCGGAAATAACTATGAGAATGTACTTCCAGCAAGATGGCGCCCCTCCGCATAATTCAAGAATAGCGAGAAATTATCTTCAAAATCGCTTTCAAGAGAGACTTATAACAATCCATGGTCCAGTCAGGTGGCCACCAAGGTCACCTGATCTTACTCCGTGCGACTTTTTTCCATGGGGGCTTCTTAAAAATAGGGTGTATTCCACACAGCCTACAACTCTACATGAGCTAGAAGTAAAAATTCGTAGAGATTTCCAAGATATCACGCCCCATATGTTGAGAAACGTTTTACATAAAAATCAGTCATTTCGAACATTTGTTTTGAATTTATTTTATTTTTAATCCTATCAATTTGATTTTTTTTTCGATAAATCTGTTTTTTTGTTATTTGAAGAATAATAATTGGATTTTTTGGTATTTCATTCCAAAAAATGACTTTCTATTATATCATTAGAAAGAAATGGTTATGCTGAATAGTACAGGCAAGAAAAAGTTGTATGTTCCTATTTAAGTTATGGACCTACAGAGTATTGTTTTTTCCCAATTTTCCCAATATTTTTTTGGCGGCTTTTTATAACGCCGACGAATGAAAATAAAATATCACAGTAGTAGCAACTGTTATCAAGTGACGTATGGTTTCCATAGCCAACTTTTCAATTTTTGGATTTCATTTTGCTTCCACGGCCTACTCGGTGAATTTCAATAATAATTTTTTTCTGATCTAGTTTCTGGTTAGATACCATCTTGTGATATGTCATTAGAAAGGGAATTGAATGCTGAATAAAGCGAAAAGAAAAAAAAAAGGGTTTCCATTTAAAATAAGAAAGTTGATGATACTTCCGGTCAGACCGGAAGTTAACTTCGACATGTCAATATGCTCAAATTCTAGCTCTTATGTCATTTTATCGACGCTCCAAATTTCACAAACCTACTTCATACAATAACTGAGATATTCCGTAGGCAATACTTCCGTAGCCACCCGGTATACGTGCGGGTAGTGGGGTAGGTACGTGGGAATTTGTAACTATGAATAATCAATAATCGTCAATAATCATTTCCTAGACATTGGTGTTATTCAATATTATATTATATTATTCAAATTTTGATAGTGCCTACAGTGTGACCCATTTCTAATGGAAACACCCCTGTCTCTTACATAATCGTTGGGTAAGTATCCTGAAATTTGCTGGAGCGAGAGATATACCAAAAATGCACTCTACGACCAGGTGGGGTCATCTTCAGTGATATACACTGCTCGCCAACAGCCACGGAACCACCCCAATTTCCGGAAAATGATATTAGGAGTCAAAAATAGGTTGAAAATCACTTCGGATTCGGAATCAGGACGCCCAATTCACTACCCATTCATAGTTTTCCTAGAAAAATTTCAGTTCAGAAAAATTAAATTTTGTCTCACTTCTCATGGAAGCACCCCCCTATCTCACGTAATTATTGAGATATGGTTCTGAAATTTGCAGGAAGAAGGGAAAGTTCAAAGATGAAGTCAATTACGTAAGATACGGGGGTGCTTCCGTAAAAAGTGCGACAAAATTTAATTTCTCAGAACTGAAAAATTTCCAGGAAAAATATGAATAGTTAGTGAATTGGGTGTCCTGATTCCGAATCTGAAGTGATTTTCGACCTATTTTGACTCCTAATATCATTTTCCGGAAATTGGGGTACTTCCATGACTGTTGGCAAGCAGTGTATATCACTGAAGACGGCCCACTTGGTCATAGAGTACAATTTTTGTATATCTCTCGCTCAAGCAAATTTCAGGATCCTTACCCAACGGTTACATAAGATACAGGGGTGTTTCCATTAGAAGTGGGTCACACTACATATATATTAATGAAGAATATTGTAGTGAATCATGCAGTGAGCAACATATTATGGAAATGGAAAGTGCATTGAAACTTATATTTGTGACCTACCTAGCGACATTCTTCATGAAATTATGGATTCATAAGATGACAAAATTAAATCCAGGATGATGAACGTTTCATACTGGCCTTTTTCAGAATATGTGATGGAGAAGCCCAATACATTGAAAATTGTTATGAGATTGTAATACCAATATTCAGAGCCATTTCAGAGTGACTCCTGAATATTTCCATGAGTTATATGCACATTTGTTCTCTTTTGTTGGCTCATCTTCTCCATCAGTAGCTACCTACCTATTCCTTATTCCATATCTACTATTTTTATTCTACAAAGTTTTTGATTACAACAAAATTATTATGTCGAATACCCCTATTTGTCAAACATTCCAAACATTTCACCACGCATTAGATGTTCTGAGACCAAATGGCCAGTGTCAACAGGATGATAAGAAATTCCACAGAATAGTCAATAAAACGACCATTCTGTCCCACTGGTGACACTAGCAATGCCAATAAAACGCAACAATTATAAAATGTATAGTCAAGGACCTCATCCGTTGAATAAAACTGACAACGGCTAGTTAAGTCATGACTATTTTATCGAAAAGGTGGAGTGAGGTTATTGTTTCAACAATGATTAATTAATTAACAAGAACTATTATTTCTCGTAAAAAATCATATTGATATTCATCAACATGGCTTCCTCAAAAAACGCTTGGTAACAACAAACCTTGTATTCAAGATATATTAGAAGATTTCGGGAAGGGATCATCAGTGTGCTCTGTGTACACCGATTTTTCTAAGGCCTTCGATAGAGTTCATCACCCAACTCACATCGTAAGGCTCGAAAACTTCGGTGTGCACGGGGCACTATTGAAACTGATCTCATCCTACATATCTGAAAGAACTCAATGGATTGCGTGCAAGAACTGTCAGATGACCGACACTGGAGGCAAAATATCGAAACACAATGTCACTTTTCTTATTTGTTTACAAGTGATGGAAATAGTTTTTCACAATTATTTTGGCATACGAATCGTATTTTTCCGCTATTCATCAATTCGCTCATGCCATCACATTGTGCTGTTGTAAAATGCACAAAAACTGCAGCGGAAGATGAAGGAATCCGGATGGTACATTATAAAAGTAAGTACCTACTAATAGTCACTCACCTATAGTTTTCATTTTTGAAATTTGGTAATTTCTCTGATTTCTCATCGGAATTCCTTCTGCGATAGGAGCTAATAGAAATACACCTGAAATTTCTAAAATAATGCAAGAAGATTGGATTCATGCAATCAATCGGGAGGACTGGTCTGACATGCTGACGATCGTGTGTGTTGTAGACATTTTCAATCTATTAGCAGTATTAGCTTGTATTGCAGAAGTGGCAGAAGGCAGAAGGAATTTTAATAAGGAATGACAACATTTCATAATTATAACTATGTGAGATTACTATTCACCTGAAAAATCATATTCTTCATTTTTTGTGCATTGTACAACAGCACAATGCGAAGGCATGCTCGAATTAATGAATAGCGCAAAAAACACGATTCGTATGCCAAAATATTGTGAAAAACTATTTCAATCCTTTGATTCCTCTATAACCAAGTAAAAAAGTGAGGTTATGTTTCAATAATTCACAGAAGAATGAGGTTGTGTTCCAATATTTTGCCTCCAGGGTCGGTCATCGTGCACGCGACCTATATGTGGCTATAAACAATGTCAACTCCAAAAATAAAGATGTAACCTCCGGGGTGTCTCAGGGATCACATTTGGGTCCCTTATTATTCAGCATCTTCTTGAATGGCATAGGAAGATGTTTTCGTTTTAGTAAATATTGTATCTTTGCAGATGATTTGAAGATATTATACAAAGAGATCAAGTGTGACCGTGACTATGAGTTACTGCAGGATGATATCACTGCTTTTTCATAGTTTTGTATTAGACATATGTTGCTCGTCAATCCTGACAAATGCATGATGATTAATCTTTCCCGCTCTATCACTCCTCTTTATAAAGAAATACTGTTGAATAACACATGTATTAAATCATCGGAAAATGTTAAAGACCTAGGAATTATATTAGATATGAAACTGTCATTCAAAAATCAAATTAATGTTACTGTCCATAAAGCAATGAAGAATTTTGGATTTATAATGAGAATGAGCAAAAACTTTCATTTGACAATTATTTCAACATTGTATAATGCTATTGTTAGACCAATGTTGGAGTTTTCCACGATTGTCTGGAATCCATTTTATATTAAAAACACTTCGTGTATTGAAAGAGTACAACTACATTTTTATAATCTCAACTCCTAAAAAGAAATAAGATTATTTTTTGATGTTATTTTCGTTTACAAACTGGTCAATAATATGGTCTACTCTTCAGTATTTTGAGTTCAATTGTAACCATTTTGGTCTTGGCAATAAAAATATTTTTTCGATAGATAGGTATAGATCAAACTACTTATTAAATTCGCCAATGCTGCGTTGTTGTCTCACATACAATAATCTTGTGAGGAGTAGTCAGGATATAGACGTTTTTGTCAGAATCTCAGTTCGTTTAAACGGATTGTAAAATTCTATATTTTCTGCTCAAATCAGTGAAAAATCATATTCCTCAAATTCATTTTATTGAAATGTTACATCATCTCACTATTTTAGCCAAGTAGTTATAGTTGTAGTATAGACTTTCGATTTAAGAGTATTATATTTTTGTTACTGAGGGCGGCCCTGTAATAGGATAGAATGTGCTATCTGTTGGGCAGCCAAAATACTAAATAAATAAATAAATAGATGAATAAATACCTGCATGCTCTTGAACCTGTCAGCCAGCAAACTGCCCTCCGTCTTCAGGTCCTTCAGATTACCGGCGATGTCTTGCATCATGTTGAACTCCAAGTCGGGCTCCTCGTACTTCATGGAGCCCAAGACTTTCGGCTCGTTTTTCTTCAATTCCTTGACCTTGGCGCGCATGCCCCTGATGATGGCTTGTTGCCGCTCGATCTTCGAGACTTGCCTCGCCAGGACTTTCAATTGGTGGATGTCTGTGATTTTCTTTTTTTCCACCTTCAAGGTCCTCCTGGCTTTTGCTAGGTCGAGTTGCTCTTTTTGCTTCCTCCTCTGCTTCAAGGTTTTCTTTTGGTTTTTGGTGGGTGGGTTCACTGATTTGTATTCGTCGCCGCTGGCTTCGTTTTCTTCTACGTTGGTGCCTTCCTTGCTTGGCAAACCTTCCGACATTTCCACCAACCAGGCATGCTGGAATAAAATGCAAAATAGTAGTTTATGCAACAATCATGTATTAGCCATAACATGATAATAATAATAAAAAATAGTTTAGTTCACAAATGATACACAGAATTTTATATTATTAACATTAAGATTTGTCAGTTCGTGAATGAACTATACAGAGAAGTGCACAAAAACGGCCAGGACTGTAACTTTCAAATTATTCGAGATAGGGTTTTGAAAATTGGTATGCAGCTAGTATACCAAATTGCTCATGCATTGATGAAACAATTGTTGTTCTATCACTTCCGGTTTTACTGGAAACGACCACAATTTTTTATTTTTAAATGGGACACACTGTATTGTATTCCATAATCGGTTAGGGATTGTTATAACAAATTCACCACTACCGGGTTTGATAGGGTTATTTCGAACGATTGCGCAGATATTCACGTTCGAAGTTTCCATAAGCTCAATGAGTGTGACAGAGAAAGAAGTTTTGATATTGCGAAGTCACACCCACTGAGCTTATGGAAACTTCGAACGCAAATATCTTTGTAATAGTTTGAAATAACCCTATCAAACCCGGTATCGTTGAATTCGTCATCATAATCCCTAACCGATTATGGAATACAATACAGGGTGTCCCATTTGAAAATCAAAAGTTGATGTCGTTTCCGGTGAAACTGAAAGTGATAGAAGGAAAATTGTTTCATCAATTAATGAGCAATTTGGTATACTTACTACCCAGCAATTTTCAAAATCCTATCTCGAATAATTCAAAAGTTACAGACTTGGCCGTTTCTTATGCATTTCTCTGTATCTGAACCAAAAGTACGACGTACTTGTAGGTTTAGTTCTTAGTATATATCATTTATTGCTCTAATCTAACTCCTAAAGTAAAGAGTAGAGTTCGTTCAAGAGAGAAGGTGTCGAATTTTGCGAGAGTTTTAAAGCAGTAATTTCAGTAGTAATATTTATCACATTTCGGTGAAATTTGCATTAAAGTGAGAAGGTGAAATCCAGCTTCAAACTTACGCATAATTAATGAAATCTTTTGGTGGCTTCAGAAGCAAATATGCATAATATGTAATACATATAGTGCAAGTGAAATAGAGGTTCTAGAATTGAAATAAAATCGATGCCCAGCAAAAACTATACTACCCACAAAAACTCGAACCCGAAAAAACTGATAAGAAATATAGCCAGACGGAGAATCTTAAGGTGTTACCAGTGGCGTATCAACAATATCTACAATGTCTGGTAATTGCTCCAAGCGATAAAAAAAAAAAAAAAAAAAAAAATGTGCAACCGAGTGTGTCTTCAGGGACAACAAGGGCGACACTTTTGGGTACCCTTGTGATCAGTGTAGACAAATAATATGCAAAAGCTGTGCAGGACTATCAGCCTCAGAGGTGAGGGCAGTAGTAATTCCTACGAGAGTAATGCCTTTTTTCTGCCCTCCATGCAGGGTTAACACAGTTCCGTCTCTTGCCCGAAAAATCGTTAAGCTTGAAGAGGAGATCCAAGATCAGTCATCCAATTTCAATAGCAAATTTATTACGTTTGAACAGAGAATAATAAAAATGGAACAGATATTAGAATCCAACAAACACCTAGAGCAGAGACTTGGAAAAATCGAAGATCTCATCGAAGCTAACAAAACTTTGAAACATGAAGTTTGTGAAATTAAAAAAAGTATGGAATCTCAAAAGCATCTACAAGTTGATGGTGAAGCTTTTTATAGAGGAATTCAGGATAGAGCAGACAGGGCCAGAAACATAATTTTATATAATGTTCAAGAATCTCAAGCTCAAGAATATTCTGAAAGAATCAAATTTGATAAAGAACAATGCCAAAATGTGTTAGACCATCTGAACGTACAGGGCGGAGAATTTAAAGCTCATCGCCTTGGTCATCCCAACAATAAACCACGCCCTCTTAAAATATCTTTTTCTGACAACAATATCGCTCTGAACTGCCTGAAAAATAAAAGAAAACTGGTAGCTGAAGAGACTCCTATTCGTTTGAGTGCGGATCAGACTCCCACCCAACGTGAATACTTCAAAAAGGTTAAAGAAGAATTTAATACAAGAATTGGAAAAGGCGAACGTAATATAGAGATTAGATTTTATAAAGGAACTCCAGTGATTCAGCAAAAATCAGAAAATAGAAAAAACTAATCAATACCCCATTGCAAGTGCTAGAAAATTGGCATTGACAAATGAAGACACAGAACAATTGTTTGTTCACTGCAAGTATAACAAAAAGGAGTTTATCATTTGTGGTGTTTATCTTCCTCCAAACGCTCCTGAAGAAAAATTTTTATCACACGTGCAAGCTGTCGAGGAAATACGTGTTAATTACCCTCTGCAAGATTTCTTTGTTTATGGAGATTTCAATCTACCAGATGTGACATGGAAAAATGACAATCTAGGCACATCTACATATGGCAATCAAAGCAACTGTTCTACAATTTTAGCCCAGTGCTATGCATTTCTCAATTTCTATCAACTTGTCGAAATTCCTGATTCCAGAAATGTATTTTTAGACCTACTTTTTTCTAACCTTGAATCTGTGAATGTTAGCTTAGCTGATCCTTTATTTCCTAGCTCAGTTCATGAAGCATATACCTTCAATATTCATTTAAATAATATGAGCGACAAAAAATTTAAATATGTGGAGTATTACTATGATTTCATCAATGCTGATGTAGTTGGTTTAAACAATTACTTGTCACCAATAAATCGGACAGAATGGTTAGATAGTAAAAATGTAAACACAGCTGTTGAAACATTTTATCAAATTTTGAACATGGCAATCAAACAATTTGTTCCGTTGAAACAATACAAAGTATCATCTTTTCCAAAATGGTTTGATGCAAATTTAAGGCATGGGGTCATACAAAAGAGGGAGGTTCATAAAAAATACAAACAAACAGGTAATATGGCATACTATGAAAATTTCGTTGATCTCAGAGCACAGTGTAAAAATCTGTCCAAAATATGTTACGAACAATACATGAATAAAATAGACAACAACTTGTCAAAAGATCCAAGATCATTCTGGAAATTTGTAAATAACAAAAAATCATCATTTAGTATTCCTCAAAACTTATTTTTGGAAGACAAAGTCGCTAACGACGGTGACGCAATTTCACAGTTGTTTGCAGACTATTTCTCTACGATATATGTTAACAATCGAGTAGCTCCTGATGACGATCTAACGAACATAACAAATCATGATATAGGTTTTTCTAATTTCTCTGTTTACACAGTGTACGATAAGATCGATAAAATCCCTTCAAAGATCAACTGTGGGCCTGATGGTATACCCAACATATTTCTTAAACAATGTATTTGTTCTCTTGCACATCCACTTTGTATGATTTTTAATCTATCATTGAACTCTGGAATTTTTCCTGATATCTGGAAAAACAGTTATATAATACCCATATTCAAATCGGGTGAAAAAGAAAATATTAAAAATTATAGAGGGATATCTAATCAATCTGCGATACCCAAGTTATTTCATAGCTTAGTGTTTGACCAAATCAGTTTTTTGTGTAAAGAGATCATTAATGACAATCAGCACGGTTTTATGCCTAAAAGAGCCACAGTAACAAATCTGTTAATTTATAACAATGATATCATATCAACTCTGGAACAGAAAATGCAATTAGATTCAATTTATACAGATTTCAGCAAAGCATTTGATAGGGTAGATCACAATTTATTATTGCTTAAATTAAAAAATATTGGTTTTAATGAAACTCTATTGAATTGGCTAAAGAGCTTTTTATCTGGTCACAAACAGAAAGTTGAAGTTGGGTCTTATCTATCAAACGATATTGATGTGACATCTGGGGTTCCACAGGGTTCACATTGTTCTCCACTATTATTCAACCTATTCGGCGACTGCTTCATATATAGTAAATATCTATTGTTTGCTGATGATTTAAAACTGTATGGACCTGTTAACTCATATATGGATGAAAAAAGTCTACAAGAAGACCTAAATAGGTTAATTAATTGGTGTGATAAAAATAAACTATATCTAAATATTGAAAAATGTACTTTTATTAGCTTCTACAAAATAAAAAAGAAATATGAATCTTCTTATTACATTAAAGATAAAGAACTTTTATCTGTGTCATCAGTGAGGGACTTAGGCATAGGCGCCGGAACTTCAAAATACCAAGAGGGGCAGAATAGATCAAGAATATATATATATATACATATACATCATATAAAATGAAATAAATAATTATGAAAACAAACAAGAATTAAAAACAATGTTCATGTAGGTGTACATATAACACAAAAAAATCGAATATCACAAAACCTAGAAGAAATTAACAAAACATTGAATAAAAATAAAATATATATGTAACGGTTGTGAGAAAAATATTCATTAGAGAAAGGTTATCGACCGGAGAAGTCTTTGAGCCCATGATTCAAATGTCTTTGAGATTGAGATGGTGGTGTTAGTGGAACAGCACATCCACTCACTCTGTTAGGACTATTGTTTTCAGTGTTTTCACGGTTGACAGCTTCAGACTTTTCATCAGTTTGTTCAGTTTTTTTTTGCGAATAACAAATTTGTCCATATATAGTAGGTAGATTCAGATTCAGATTCTTTATTGACCATTTGTAGCCAAGCAGTGCTTGGATATGGTAAGTCATTTTACACTTAGTAGCACATTATCAACGCTATACAAAACAGTGACAGTAGAAATTTAAAAATTTAAAAATTTATAAAATACAAGGGGCATACATACATACAAGTAAAAAATATATTAGGTATTATAGCAATAGTTCACAAATTCTTCAAGGCTGTAGAAAGCATTCATTGTCAGTATTTTTTTAATTTTCTTCTTGAAGAGAGGGAATGATAATTCTTTTACATCATTTGGTATATAATTGTATAATGTGAGTCCACTGTGTTGTGGTGATTTTGTAAAATATGCATGGTTAAATTTTTCGATGCGAAGGTTATCTTTGTTTCTTGTTTCATACCTATGTCTATCA